TAAAAAAAAAAAAAAAAAAAAAAAAAAAAAAAAAAAAAAAAGGGAACAGGATTACAAGTTCTACCAAGAAGTTGTCCAGTATACTATACATGGGTTTAGACTGTTATTTTATGAATATGCTTATGTGTATATCTATGCATTGATACCCACAAAACTTTAATATGCTACACAGCATGCCACTTGATTTTCAGTGAAAAATATTGTAAAGATATTTCTATTTATATGGAGGCTCTCAGGAAATGTTTGGTAAATGAATTGGTGAATTTTAATAGGATAGGATATTCGGTTGTGTAATATTCTGTGGCAGTTTAGAATCTTCTTGCTTGCCACTGTTGCAAAGAAACAAAGGTTATTTTACTTTTCAAAAGTTCTTCTCTGGCTACAAATGTTCTGTTGCTTTACTTTCTTTCTATGAAAATAGAACCACTGACGATCCAGGCTATGAGACATAATTGTCTCTGTCGGACAGTGCCTGGAAGGTAGCACTTGCTCAGTACATGGGAGTCAGTATTTTAATGAGTACTTGGAAAGTTCCGTTATATAAAAAAAATACAACAAAAAATGTAATCATTGGGAGGAGGGGGTGTATCTATTAAATTCTTGTTCAGTTATCAGTAGTTCCCCATCCAGTTTTATGCAGTGTTATTTCATTTTCTCTAGTTTCTGGCTTTCCCCAGATTTCAATGTCACATCCCTATGGAATTTTGAATCCAGAGAAGCGGTGTATTATGAGAAATAAGATTTGAATCTTCCCAGGAATTTTTGTGTACACTGGGGGGACAAAACCAGTATAGTGAGGATATGACTCACGATATCACATGAGTGTTATGAATATAATTAACATTTTTCTGAGTATAAAACTTGCATTTTTTCTATTTATGTTTCAATCTATGACAAACTATTTAAAATAAAACATCCCAGAACAAGCTCAGTCAAGCCATTTGTCCACAATGCCATGAATATTTACGGCTAGGCTCAGCATTAGGATGTTACCCCTTGCCTTGAGTTTCCTTAGCAGCTCACAGCTAAATGGCCCTGGACAAGTTACTTGGTATGCCAATTAGTCCTGTTCAACCCTAATAAAAAACGAAACAAAACCCAATTAGAATGTAACTGTACACGCTTCTTTGGTCAGATACAAATATTCTATTTTTTTTTTTTTTTTTAGTATCTGACCAAAATGGGTCCATAAAAATAAAGTCGATGTATTTCATTTCCATCCTTGATTTATGTTAATTGTATTCCACATCCACTTTACTGTTTATAATCATTATTTCCAAATCTGCTTGTAGTAGCAATTTGAAGCCTATGGAATAATATGAGATATATATTTCTTCAATGTATTATGCTAAGAAATGCCTTACCTTAGGTAATCTATTGTAAATTGCCTCAATATCCACTATATTATGCATTTCACAGTGTTTTTCCTCTTTTATTAAAGCTTAGTCCCTTGGAAAATTTAAAGAGAGAGAGGGGGTGTGGTGAGGGGAAGGGAGGGAGGGAGGAAGAAATCCTGGCATTTTGGGTCTGTATTTTCGTGACTAGAAACCGGTGGTTGGAACCAAAGAAACAGAAGTTTAGGATGGGAAGACAGAAGGAAACAGGAGTAATTGCTTTTGCTAACCACAGTCTTTTGATGTCCCCGTGGGCATCAGAAGCTAGAGGAAGGGCTGTCCAACTCACAGTCTTTGAAAAGGAAGCGTCCTATTCCTGGATTGAGCTGTGTCCCGTGCTGTTGGTTTTCTGGCTTTGAATCCTCGGGCTAAGTTGCTTCTTACCAAGAAAGGAGATACAGCCACTCTTTTCTCTGCCAGTTTTCGGTGATCTTCCCCTTAGATATCATCCTCCAGAGGAACCACAGTGCTGATCCTCCTTGATCCTCTTTTATAGGCATTTAGTTTCCCCCTGGCCCCACCGGAGAGCAGCATCTTCACACCTATTGCTAGAAGGACCCACCCATATTTCTTGAAATGTGTGATCACTGTAGATTGAAGCAAAGTGTTTCCACATCACTGCTACAAATCACTTCTGAGGATGT